TGTCTGCCTGCAAACATGGGTGATTGTTGTATGTGAGGGACTTTAGGCTTTCAGAATTGATAGGCAAATATCCACTCTTTCATCCCTGAGACTGGGGGCACTGTGGATTGTGGGGACAAAAACGGGTTGTCCTTCCTCTTCCCCGCCTCTTCTTCCTTTTCTCCCACTGAATGCCCCATCTTCACGAAACAAATAAGGCCCTAAATGGTGGCCTGGCAGAGCCTGCCAGGAAGTTGCAGTTTGAGGGCTACTGCCACAGAAGGTTCTTATATGTCTCTTGATTCCTGACAAGGAGGGGACAGGTAACAAAAGCAAGCCTGGGAAGATGTGGCTGACATTTAGATTCTCCTTTGAAAATGCATACACTTTTTAGAAAAGTGTGACCTTATTAATAATTACTAACGTCTGTAGTTATCAATTAACCTGTTTCCAGGGTCAGTAGAAATCAGCCCAAAGTATAAAGGGGCTGACAAGAGAGGAGGATGAGTCGGTGAGAGATGGGAACTTGCACACAGGCAAGGGTGCCAAGAGGGTAAGGCCCGAAGTCACCACTGTGCCCAGCTCTCCTCCGACCCGATTATCTGAACAACCTCTCTTGATACCTTGGGCCAGGAAACCAGTAGTTATCAAGCAGCACGGCCGGGGAAAGGTGGGTGGTACTGGTAATTAGAGGCTCAAGTTCTGGGCTAGGAAAGCCCACCTGATCACTGCAGGGCCCTGGCAAGTCCTGTAACTGAACATCTGTGGGCTTTGATCCCTCCATCTGCACGAGAAGTATAATATCACTCCCCCCATGCTCTAGCCTGACATTGTGAAAATTAACTAACGGGTGATAGGAGAATTTTGAGATCCTTGAATTAAAAGGTCCCTCATAAATATTCACATAAAATGCCATCAGTACTTACACCATGTATAGGTGTAGGGAAAACGAAACCCTCAGGAGTGGGAATCTATTTATTCTACTATTTCTATTTGCCGTTCTACTTATCTCAAATTCTCTCCTTGCTGAATGCCCCTACTTCATAAAACGAATACTGTCCCTGCTATATCAGCTCTCGCACTGTGAGGAGAAAAACTGGACAATAACATTTGAGTCTTGCATTTTGGATTCATTTCAGAGAATCTTTGTATTATACCAATAAAGAATGATTTTCAAAGACAGTGAAAGACAAGCATCCCCTGGCTAAGAACAGTCCGTGGCCAGGGAGGCCGCAGGACTTGGATCCCGAGACAATGGCACAATGCATCCTTCATCTGTAATAGAAACAGCTCCAGGTGTCTGAGGCAGCTGCCGAATGGTCTGAAAACCATTTTCCCTACTGGCTTTTCTTATCCAAGACAGTTGTACCCAAGACAAATGTGCTGCGGTGATGTTTCCTGGTCGGTCACCTGTGTGTGGCTGACACGGCCCCAGTACTACACAAACACTGCCCCAGACTTACACAGCACACAGCACACTTGCTCAGCTCCGTATATATCAAACTCGATTTTTCAATTTGCAAACCACCCAGGCAACATGTTAGATAGAGATGAAAAGTAAGGTGTTTACAAACTGGCAATGAAACATGATATTTATCCTGTTGGGTGAAATGAGCCTGACAGATGTATTTTCTGTTAAAATTAAAATTGTGAGCCATATCGCATTACCCTGGGCAATGCCGCCAGATGCACAGCGTGTGGCTGACAAAGGGGCACCCCTCTGGTCATCTGAGCCAGGCTGTGGGTTCCAACAATTCATGACACGGGAGCTCATTACAAGGCCTTGCCTGAGAGGGAGGCCCCACCAAGTGTTGAATGCACAGCAGCGGACTTGTGAAACTGGCATACAAATTATTCTTCTCTATCTTTTCTTGCCCACGAACATCCTGGCTATGGGGGAAGCGCTCTGGGAAGATAACAGTCAGTCATCTTTGATTTTGGTCTGCAGAAAGGCTTCTCCTCTCAGGCTGGCAGACCAAGGACGCAGCTTGGGAATGCATCAGCCCAGCACTGTGCTCTCCCAGACTCCCATTCCCACTGGACTCACAGCTCCAAGGAGGAGGGACCAGAGACAGAGAGCCTGAGACACCCTGGAGAGAGCCTACAGGGCTGCCTTCTGGGGCAGGGTCCTCTGGGCTTCTTCAGAGGGCTCTTGCGCATGGTTTACAAACATGGCCCATTTAAACAAACCACTAAACAGTGAGCTGGTGGTTCCTGGTGTGAAAACAATACCGGGTATTGGTCGGCACTACCAGGGAGAGAAATCTCTACGGTGCCTTTAAGGCTGGACTACCGGAGGATTTTGTGGTCCAGTGGTGGGAGGTGGGCATGTGAGAATGTCACATCCATGGGCCCCGGGGCTTCCATGAAGGTTTAAATTCCCATCTTTTCATACCTTTCCCTAGGGACTAGGATGTAGTTCTTTCTCACAGGAGCCTAAGCCCTACCTTATCCCGGTGTGATCATGAATCCCAGTCCAATTGTACACTTTGTCTTCTCTTTATCAGTAGCTCCGCATCCCCCATAGAGGTAGTCTGGAGTGCGGCCAAGTGCACGCCAACAATGTCCTTCCTTCACATTTACATGAGTGAGTGGGTGAATACATGGTATCACAGGAAGTCACCAAGATTTAATAAGCTTGTAAGAAAAATTGGAAAGGAAACGATGAAGGGACCAAAAAAAAAAAGAATGAAGGAAAAGCACTCCATCCTGTATCTTGAGAAGGAGTGTTATAGATGGTCTAGCTCTGTGTATTATTATCTGTAAAGTTATGTGAAATAAACAGGAGACAAAAACACAAGATGAAAAGCTTCATAAACAATATGTAAGTCCAACAAATAAAATTCCACCAATTGACAGCCAGTCTGATGAAATAGTTTTGCTGTAAGAGATTGAGCAAATGAGCCTGGAATAATCCACCTGAGCGAGACTGAATGAGCTAACCACAACAGCTTCCAAAGAGAGAAAGAAGACACAGTTATCGCAACAGAGGAGTATGTAGTGATACGGGCCATGCCATGCTGCTGTGTATGTGCGCCACACAGGCAACACTGTTAGAATAATACCTGATATAGCTAGTGTTATGGATTGAATTGTGTCCCTCCACCAAATTTATGGGTTGAAGTCCTATCCCCTACGTTTCTTAGAAAGTGGCCCTGACTAATTACACTGTAATTATTTGAGTTCACACTGCAGTAGGGTGGGCCCCTAATCCTATATGACTGGTGTCCTCATGAGAAGTGGGAAGTGGAAATTTGGACCCAGAGACAGGCACACGGGGAGATACCAGATGAACACAAAGACAGATCAGCGTGATGTGAATATTACCAGGAAACAGCAGACTGGCAGCAAACCACCAGAAGCCAGGAAAGAGGCAGGGAAGAGATCCTTGCCTAGCACCTTAAAGGAGCATGGCCCAGCCCACACCTTGATCTTGAACTTGGAGGGACTTCAAACCTCCAGAACCGTGAGAGGGCACGGTTATGCTATTCAAGCCACTCAGCGAGAGATACTCTGTTGCGGCAGCCCTAGCAAACTAATATGCCTACAAAACAGAAAAAGGAGAGTTAGGAATACCAGGGAAGATGGCAATAGATTGTGATGAGTGCAGAGCAAGGAACAGAAATAACAGAAGTTTACTCCACTGAAACAGAATTTTGGCATGGATACGAGAACCCAGAGATAGCCACCGAGGGTGGGTGACTTCCCACGCCCTAACTTTCTACCATACGCTTGTCTATTGTCTTAAAAACATATAAAGACAAAGGCAAAGGTTTAAAACTATCACGAGTAAGGAAAATTGGTATTTAATGATGTGGTGATGATAATTTAATAAGAGTTTTCTCCTTAGACTTTGGAGGGGAAAGGGCAAGGTGGAGAAGTCAGGATAAGGCTGAGAGGGAGCACTTGACCGGTCTTTGGAGGTGGAGGAAAATATTTTCAGACTTACAGCAATTGGCTAATTAAGGATGCAAACAGTGGATTACAAACATGCTTACCCATTACGCCAAAACTAGACAGAGATTTAAGGACATCTTTGAGAAACAAATGAATTAGAGTATTAAGTGAGGATTGATATTACATAATGAAAAAAGTTGGTACATTAGCAAGTACATTCTTAGAACTATCAGATATTAGCAAAACCTCCAAAGGCTCTCAGACAATAACTACAGATAATGAATATAGTAGAAGAGGAATAGAAGACTCCTTTTGTTTCCTAAGATGGAATCAGAGTTTCTTTCTTTAATAGAAAGATATTAAAATGTTTTTTTGAAAAAAATACATTAATGTTAAAATATTAACATTAGATGGCTTAAAGTTACCCTTTAACCTAGCTCAAAAAGAAGTGAATAGTTTAAAATCTACCACAGAAACCACAGAAAAGGGAAAGCAAGAAAGGACTATGATAGGCCAAGTGAAGTGGCTCACACCTGTAATTCTAGCACCCCGGGAGGCTGAGGTAGGAGGACTGCTTAAGCTCAGGAGTTTGAGACCAGCCTGAGCAATATCAAGAGACCCTGTCTCTGCTAAAAATAGAAAAACAGTTGTAGCGGGCGTCTGTACTCCCAGCTACTTAGGAGGCTGAGGCAGGATGATTGCTTGAGCCCAGGAGATTGGGGTTGCTCAAATTATGATGATGCCATTGTACTCTAGGGTGACAGAGCAAGACTATCTCTAAAAAAAAAAAAAGGAAAGAAAGAAAATTAGCTGGACGTGGAAAATTAGTCCACAGTGGTGGACTCCTTTAGTACCAGCTACTCGGGAGGCTGAGGCAGGAGGATCACTTGAACTTAGGAGTTTGAGGTTGCAGTAAGCTAGGCTTAGGCTAACCATGGCACTTTAGCCTGAGTGACAGAGCAAGACTCTATCTCTAGAAAGAAGGAAAGAAGAAATGACTACAATAAGGCAACTGACTACAAAATGCAATGACTACTATTTGCGCTAATGGAAAATGATATATCAAAAAGTAAATGTGAACAGAGCTTTTGTTGGTGCTGGTGGCTGAGCTTGTTGCTGCCCTTGGTCATGGGGTTCTGGTTGGCATTGAGGCTATAGCAATAATGGTGAACTTACTTCAAATTGGGCATGACTGCTGGATTCATACACTAGTCCCTATGAGATTTGTCACTGGATGTTATCTAGACAGAAAGAATGATGAAACTCTAACTGCCTTCTGAAACAAGAGCATGTTATTTAAAAGGAAATTGAGGCCCAATGAAATAGTTACCTGGAAGCAAAAACCAGCTGAATAACAGAATGTTCACATTTTAAAAGTTAGGAGAAAAATAAAAACACGTTTATTATGTAAGACGAAAAAACAAGTAAATGTGAACAGCCTAAACTTACTTATTTCTTTTAAAAAAGCAAAAGAAGAAAATTCAACAATCTGTTATTTAAAAGGAATATATTTAGCACCAAGTCATTTTGGTAGTTGGCGTGGGGAAGAATGGTCTGAGATTTAACCTACTTGTGTTAAGACCAGAACAAAAGTCCAGGCTCTTAGAATTGTCAGGCTCCCTTCCCTGTGCATGAATCCTGCTTATCTTGCAAGCCCTGGTTCAAGTGTCCACTTCCCTGTGACCTCCTTTGCCAACTCCTCCGACCTGAGGTCCTCACCAGCTCAGCATTTATTACAAAACGCTTATTACAATGAACCACATTTAGGTTTAGAGTCTATCTTTATTAGACTTTCAGCTTCTGAAGAAAGCAGTTCCCAGTGTCTCCAAGTCCAGTTAATCAAACCATGTAAAATGATATGTCATTAAAATGAAAAATACATGGGTTAGGCAGAGAGAGATGGACATGCCAGACCCATCGTTCCTTTGCATGAGCATAGACACGTTGACATAAAAGCCACATGTTCACAGAACCTGAGTTGTCTAATGTGATTGGGCTATTGGACTTGTTGTAGGGAAAGGGTTTTGGGGAAAGGACCCAGATGCTAAAGCAAAAAAAGGCCTTGAATGTCATCTGCTGCAGTCTGGAATCGACTGCACAGGCAATGGGGAATGGCAGCTTTCCTGATTAGTTGTTTTCTGCTTGTTTGCTTTGTTGTGTGACAACAGCTATGCTGAGAGGAATGGGGGACACGATGCAGGCGAGGGAGCTCTGAGGCTGAGAGGCCATACTAGGCGTTTTCAATGAGTGGTGAGGTTTGTTTCTTGTTATGTCTTTTCTATATTCATAGTTATTAAAAAAGCAAGCTTGTAATACCATTATATTAAAGAATAAAAATGCAAGTGATCTCTCTCTCTCTTTAGAGATAGAGTCTTACTCTGTCACCCAGGCTGCTGTGGAGTGGTGTGATCATAGCTCACTGCAACCTTGAACTCCTGGGCTCACGCAAGCCTCTTGCCTCAGCCTCCTAGTAGCCAGAACTACAGGCACCTGCCACCACACTGGGTTTCTTTTTCTCTTCTCTTCTTCTCTCATCCCTCCTTCCTTCTTTCTCCCTTCTTCAGTCTCTTCCTTCTTTCTTTTTAATTTCCTTCCTTCCCTCCTCCCTTTCTTTCTTCTTTTTGAAATTGGGGCAAATGGAGATGGAGAAAAGGTTTCAGATCCCATAGATTCTCACAGTCAGGGCATTGCCAGGACTTGGAGATTGGCTGCATGTGAGTGGTGAAGGAAAAGGGGCAGTTAACACAGGCCATTTCTAGTTCAAGCAACAGGGTTGCTGGGGGTTTCATTGCTTGGGTGTGAAAACCAATCAAGAGGGAGAACAGCATTGGTTGAGGGGTGTGTGGGTCCAGACACATTGCATCTGAGGACATCCAGGCTCAGGGTCAGTCTGCAGGTGTACAGTTGGTGCCATCAGCAGATGAGGGATTGACAGCACCATGGAAATGGATGACACTGCCCAGGAGAGGCCAGGTGTGCTCCAGTCCTCTCGTGACGATAAAGAATGAAATCTTTTTTTTTTGAGACAGGAGCCTCAAGCTGTCCCCCTGGGTAGAGTGCCGTGGCATCACAGCTCACAGCAACCTCCAACTCCTGGGCTCAAGTGAGTCTCCTGCCTCAGCCTCCCAAGTAGCTGGGACCACAGGCGCCTGCCACAATGCCCGGCTATTTTTTGGTTGCAGCCATCATTGTTGTTTGGTGGCCCGGGCTGGATTCAAACCTGCCACCCTGGGTGTACGTGGCTGGTGCCTTAGCCACTTGAGCCACAGGTGCCGAGCTGCAAAATCTTAAAGGAATATATACACTCAACGAGTAAGAGGGAGGAAGAGAAGTTGGAGAAAGAAATGAAATGAAATGAAATGGACAACTCAGAAAGAATTGCTTCATTATGCACGGAAAGGAAAACCTTGGAAGAGGGAGATGGCCGGCGGTAACAATTCTTTCAGGAGGCTAAATAGAGTGGGGACAATTAGGAAGATAGCAGGGCTCTGGGAAAGCCTTTTTTAGTAAAATGATAAGGAGGGAAGACAGACAACATGAGATTAAAAAGTGACAGGGAAGTGAGGACACAAGATCAGGGAGGATAGAGTGTTCCCAAGAAACCCGGCAGGGAAGGGAGGAACAAAGATGGTTTAGGGGATCAATGAATTTTTTTCTTCTTTTAAGGATAGAGAAACCTGATTTGGTTCGTAGAGTAAACAGAAGGAGCCAGTAGGGAAAGGAAGAAGGGAATGATTGATGAGATAAGGTTCTGGGGAAGGTGGAAGGAGGACACATCAACACACTCACAAGGTTAGCAGATTAAAAAATAATTCTCAAGAAAAAGCAACTGAGGCATCTCTATAGGACTGCAATAGATACGAGCTCAAAAGGGTAGATGTTTATGCCGCAAGCAACATCAAATACATAGGTCAGGAAAGGGGCAAAAAGGCCAAAGGAGTAAAATTAGTATTTACCTATCTTAAAACTCTGTGTAGGACATACCTGAACACATAAACAAACAATGAAGGCAAAGTCAAAAATTATAATAATTAAGGAAAAACTAACAGATATATGAACCAATCTACATGATAGAATTAAGTTTTAATCACAGTTTCCTTTCAAGAAAAATAGATCTTTCCCTAAAAGTAATCCAACAAAAACGTGTGTGTGTGTGTGTGTGTGTGTGTGTGGTCAAATGAAGGAGAGATTGAGGTAAAATGGTTTTGGTCACCAGTTCCAGAAATGGCAGCCTTAGCTTTCAATATTTTTGCTCTTGTTGAGTGATGCCAGAAAGTAACTTTCTGGGCTTTATTCCTTATCTACATGGGAATCATATTTTTTCATAACCAACCCATAGGAGTTGGTTGTAATTATTCTGAGGCCTTTAATGATGACTGTGTTGAGTATCAGTTTTCTCTTTGTGTCCTGTAAGTATGGAAAGAAGACCTTTTTCTAGACTCCTCAAGATTCTCTTAGTAAAAGTGACTAAAGTTGGCTCGGCACCCGTAGCACAGTGGTTATGGCGCTGGCCACATAGACCAAGGCTGGTAGGTTCAAACCTGGCCCAGGCCAGCTAAACAACAATGACAACGGCAACAAAAAAATAGCTGGGCATTGTGGCAGGCCCCTGTAGTCCCAGCTACTTGGGAGGCTGAGGCAAGAGAATCGCTTAAGCCCAAGAGTTTAAGGTTGCTGTGGACTGTGACGCCATGGCACTCTACCAAGGACGACATAGTGAGACTCTGTCTTAATTTAAAAAAAAAAAAGTGACTGAAGATGACTTTTCATGTATTGTTTCTACAAGCAGAAAAACAAAAGGAGGTTTTCAGAGACTCATTTAATAAGTGATTTTTGGCAAAAGGTCTTAATAACCCTAAACAGCTGGAGGCTGGCTGGTTAGGACTATTCATTTTGTCTTCTTGTTGAGCACTGATCATGAGCACTGGACACAGGGCTGGGCATTCCTCGCTCACAAGTACTGAATAATCACATCTCATATATGTGTATCAGTCCCTCCTGGTAGTCCTTTAAATGATTACACACAACTTCAGTCAACAGTTCAACTGACTTGGAGCCAGGGACAACATAAGAGCATCAATGTAGGGGAATGTACAATGTAGGTCAATGTAGGGGAAACAACTGAGTTTAGGGTAACCTGACTCTAAGGAAATTAAAGTGGCTGGATGACGGATGTGGTTTAACAGTGCATGCAGCTCTGGAGCTCACAGTTCCACTCCTTCATGACTGCACTTTGGTCTCCCTGTTTTGAAGACTGAAAAGGACGGACAAAGACTCAAGGAAGAAAAGATGACCAAAGTGGATCAGAGATGCAGTGTGCTAAAAAGCTCTGGGACACACAGCCATAAGAACAACTCTTTTTTGTTGTTCTTTTGTTGTTCTTTTGTTGTTCTTTTGTTGTTCCCCCTGGGTAGAGTGCTGTGGCATTACAGCTCACAGCAACCTCCAACTCCTGGGCTCAAGCAAGTCTCCTGCCTCAGCCTCCCAAGTAGCTGGGACCACAGCTGCCCGCCAACACCTGGCTATTTTTTGGTTGCAGCCATCATCATTGTTTGGCGGGCCTGGGCTGGATTCGAACCCGCCACCTTAACCACTTGAGCCACAGGTGCCGAGCCATGATCAACTCTTAATTCCCTCCCTCACTTCCACTTAATAAACTGCAAGGATACAATTATCCTTCTCCACCTTCTCTCCCCACAGGGCTCCCATTTGTTCTCATCTCCTTTTCCTATTCAATGGAAGGACAAAGGCAAATTAACCAAGAAGACCTCACACACACACACCCAGTGCACTCCTGGGTAGGACCTCTGAATGTTGTGATTCTTTGGCCACTACTTTTGAAAAGGATAATTCAATTTTGAGCACAGAATTAGTGGATTACAGAATGATTTTGAATGTCTCTGCCCTGGCCAGGGAAATGCTGTCAAGAGAGGAAAAGAGTTCTAACTTTTTCACAAAATAGTATTTTAAAGATATGGGTGGCTCAGCGCCCATAACTCAGTGAGTAGAGTGCCAGCCATATACACCAAAGGTGGCAGGTTTGGGCCCAGCCCAGGCCCGCTAAGCAATGACAACTGCAACCAAAAAATAGCCAGGCGTTGTGGTGGGTACCTGTAGTCTCAGCTACTTGAGTGGCTGAGGCAAGAAAATCGCTTAAGCCCAAGAGTTGGAGGTTGCTGTGAGCTGTGATGCCACAGCACTCTACTGAGGGTGACACATTGAGACTCTGTCTTAAAAAAAAAAAATAAAAAAGGAAGAGAAAGATATGGGTGGTCCACTACTTTTCTACAGGAAGACCTTCCAGGTTCTAAAGAGTCAAGTAAAATTATGATTGATAATTAATTACTATGCCCTT